TTTTTTGTCTATGAATTTCTAAGGGAATAGCTTCAAAAATAGATCATTGACCTGTATAGAGGGTTTGCTTGTAGTGAGGGCATGACTAGTTTGGAGTGGGAGAAGAAACGTTCTTGAGAAGATCTTGTGGTTCAGTGCTAGTGCATCTGCTGGGCAGGTGGAAGGGTCCCCCAGTTTGGTCTCTGTGAGTGCTGAGGTCTAGAAAGTCGATGCTCTCATTAGTGTTCTATCACGTGTTTGCGTGGAAACCCTCTGCCCCATGTTGCACTTTGAGTGAGGGCATAACTAGTTTGGAGTGGGAGAAGAGAAGATCTTGAGAAGATCTTGTGGTTCAGTGCTAGTGCATCTGCTGGGCAGGTGGAAGGGTCCCCCAGTTCGGTCTCTGGCATCTCCAGTTTAAAAATTCTGGCAGGAGATGATGTGAAACACTCACCCTGAGACCTTGGAGAGCTGCCGCTAGCATGGCTAGTTCCCCCAGTTTGGTGTCGTGGTTAAGTGCGCGGACTCTCATCTGGGAGAACCGGGTTTGATTCCCCACTCCTCCACTTGCACCTCCACGTGCATCAGCCATAGTTCTGATAAGAGCTGTTCTTGAAAAAGAGCAGTTTCTGTTAGAGTTCTCTCAGTCCCACCTCCCTCACAGGGTGTCTTTTGTGGGGAGGGGAAGGGAAGGGAGTTTGTGAGCTGCTCTGAGACTCTGAGTGGTATAAATCCAATCTCCTCCTCCTCCTCCTAACATGAGAACATAAGAGATGCCAATGTTGGATCAGGCCAAAGGCCCATCCAGTCCAACACTCTGTATCACACAGTGGCCAGAAATACCAGGTGCCTTCAGGAGGTCCAGCAGTGGGGCCAGGACATTAGAAGCCCTCCCACTGTTGACCCCCCCCCCCAGCACCAAGAAGCAAGAGCATCCCTTGCCCCAGAGTCCCTATCTTTGCCTTGTGGCTAATAGCCACTGATGGACCTCTGCTCCATATGCTTATCTAATTCCCTTTTGAAGCCGTCCATGCTTGTAGCCGCCACCACTTCCGGTGGCAGTGAATTCTATGTGTTAATCACTCTTTGGGTAAAGAAGGACTTCCTTTTATCCGTTTTAACCCGACCTCCTCTTCCTCTTCCTCTTCCTCTTCTTCTCATCTATTGGACTGCCTTTCTGCCCAATGGAGCACGTCATCAGCCCCTCTGGTAGGACGGTTGCTTGGTGTCCCTCCCCCACCTGGCCACTGGCAGGGAATGGGGGAGGTACGCTTGCCAGCTCCAGGCTGGGAAACTCCTGGAGATTTGGGGGTGGAGCCTGGGGAGGACAGGGACCTCAGTGGGGTACGCTGCCACAGAGTCCACCCTCGGAAGCATCCATTGTCTCCAGGGGAACCGATCTCTGTAGTCTGCAGGTGAGCTGTAATTCTGGGGGGTCCCCAGGTCCCACCTGGAGGCCGGCATCCCTAACAGAAAGTTAGATTGGGACTGGAGTACAAATCTCTAATGTGAAGCTCACTGGGGGGCTTTGAGCCAGTGTCCCTCCCCCTCATCCTATTGTTGTGAGGTAGGGTTGCCCAGTCCCCCCTGGCCACAGGCGGGGAATGGGGGGGTCAGGGTTGCCAGATCCAGGTTGGGAAACTCCTGGTGATTTGGGGATGGAGCCTGGGGAGGACAGGGACCTCAGTGGGGGACAATGCCATAAGAGTCCACTCTTCTGGAGCATCCATTTTCTCCAGGGGAACTGATCTCTGTAGGCTGTGGATGAGCTGTAATTCTAGAGGATCCCGGCCCTATCAATTAACATCCTCCGAAACATCCTATCATTGACAGCCTTGCTCAGGTCTTGCAAATTTAGGGTCACGGCTTCCTTGATTGAGACAGTCCACCTCATGCTGGGTCTTACTCTTCTTTCCCTGCTGTCTTCAGCTTTTCCTAACATTACTGGTTTTTTTCCAGTGACTCTTGTCTTCTCCAGGTGACCAAGTGTGATAACTTCAGTTTGGTCCTTTTGGCTTCCAGGGAGAGGCCAGGCTTGATTTGATCTAGAACCCACCAATTTGTCTTTTTGGCAGTCTACGGTATCTGTAAAACTCTTCTCCAACACCACATAACTTCAAAAACCCTATGATGGCATTATACCCCGTTGAATTCTCTCCCCTCCCCAAACCTCACCCTCTTCAGGATCCAACCAGGAGCTGGCAACCCTATATATCGGTCAGTGAAGGAAGAGAACAGGAGGGTGACACAAGACGGTGGTCAGCTCTCTTGCTGAGGAAGGACCTACAGGCTACAGTTCAGGCGCGGGACAGAAGAACATAAGAAGAGCCGTGCTGGATCAGACCAGTGGTCCCTCTAGTCCAGCATCCTATCTCACACAGTGGCCAACCAGTTCCCTTGGAGGGCCAACAACAGGGCATAGAGGCTGAGGCCTTCATTAGAACATCAGAAGAGCCCTGCTGGATCAGACCAGTGGTCCATCGAGTCCAGCATCCTGCCTCACACAGTGGCCAACCAGTTCCTCTGAAGGGCCAACAGCAGGGAACAGAGGCTGAGGCCTTCATAAGAACATCAGAAGAGCCCTGCTGGATCAGACCAGTGGTCCCTCTAGTCCAGCATCCTCTCTCACACAGTGGCCAACCAGTTCCCCTGGAGGGCCAACAACAGGGCAGAGAGGCCGAGGCCTTCATTACAACATCAGAAGAGCCCTGCTGGATCAGACCAGTGGTCCATCTAGTCCAGCATCCTATCTCACACAGTGGCCAACCTGTTCCCCTGGAGGTCCAACAACAGGGCAGAGAGGCCGAGGCCTTCCCCTGATGCTACCTCCTGGCTCTGGGATTCAGAGGCTTCGTGCCTCTGAATGTGGAGCTTCCCCTCAGCCACCATGGCTAGGAGCCATTGATAGACCTCTCCTCCATGAAGTTATCTATAAGATCATAAGGGACTGAGATTGTGTAGAAACCTCAGCGTTTTCCTCGGCCTGCCTCTCCTGAAATAGCTGTCGTCGTAACCAATGAACAATTCCTGACCAAAAAAACCCACACATACAGGCCAGGGAGAGAGCCGGTAGCGGAAATGTGAGGTACATCTCAGCCTACTTCTTCTGTTTACGTAACCCGTTGGCTGAGGAGTGTGCCCTAAGTGGAGACAGGTAGATAATTGTAGGTCAAAGAGAAGCCAGGTGTTTTCCCCCCAGTCTCTGAGCATGTTTCGGCGGGGCACGTGGTCTGCGGATGGGAAAGCCTGTGACTATTAAAAGGGCACAGTTTGATTAAGCCGAAAACACTTTCTTTGGCAGCTCATTGTAGCTTCCTGAAGTAATGGAGGTCAGGCAGGTAGCCAAGGAAACGCACTCAACCTTGAGAGAGGAAAGGTTTATTGCTGCCTCGCCCGCAGTCAGATTAATGGAGGAGGGCTTGGAACGGGTCTCGGAAAGGGGGCTGCTGGCCAGCTTTTGAAGGCTGTGAGTCACCCTTAGAGGGGTTTCCAGCCTCCAGGTGGGGCCTGGAGACCTCCCGGCATTAGAACTGATCTCCAGACTGCAAAGATCAGTTCCCCTGGAGGAAATGGCTGCTTTGGAGGATGGACTCTATGGCATTATACCTATATCAGGGTTTGGGGAGGGGAAGAAGAGATTGGATTTATTTCCCCACCTTCCCTACCCAAAGGAGTCTCAGAGCGGCTTACGATCTCTTTTCCCTTCCCCTCCCCACAACAGACACCCTGTGAGATGGGTGGGGCTGAGAGAGCTCTTTCGAGAACTGCTCCTGAGAGAACAGCTCTGAAAGAACTTGTAACTGACCCAAGGTCACGCCAGCAGCTGCATGTGGAGGAGTGGGGAATCAAGCCCAGTTCTCCTAGATTAGAGACCGCGCTCCAAACCACTACACCGAACCGGGAGGGTTCCTCAGTGGAGCATAATGCAATACAGTCCATCCTCCAAAGGAGCCATTGTTCTCCACAGGAACTGATCTCTGTTTTCTCTGGAGATCAGTCATAGTCCCAGGAGATCGCTAGGCCCCCACCTGGAGGTCAGTAATTTTGCCCCCCCCCCCCTCAGCCGTGAAGCCAGTTGGGTGGTATTGAGTCAGCTGCTCTACCTTGCAGGGTTGTTGTTGGAGTCTCTGGTTTTAGTAGAGTCAGGAATCACTGTGGATGTAGCAGAGTGCACTAGGCATTTCCACGCAGCAAAGCTTTGGTACTGGGTGTGCTAGCAGGCGTACAAAGTTACACAGAGCCAGTAGTCAGATTTAAAAGTAATAAGAGTTCTTTATTATACAGAACACCATTCTGTCTCGAGATCAGTTGTAATTCCAGAAGATGTCCAGGCCCCACCTTGGGGATGGCAACGTATGACTCAAACTATATTAAGCATAACTATTCTTTCCATTGGACACAAAAATCCTGAAAACACCTGGGTGTTAACATCCCTCTTGATCTAAAGGAGATCTTACAGTATAATCAGGGCTCTAGTCGGGGGGGAGCTCTCAGGTACGGAGCTCCGGAAGAGAACCTCTAGGGGGCGGGGCGGTCACGTGGTGAAGCCCCGCCCCCTTCTTTACCCCGCCCTCTGCTTCGATCCTCATTCCGTTTGGGAATGAGGATGAAGCAGGAGGGTAAGTAGCCGGGCCTTCTGACACACTTCCGGTGATGTCAGGGGGTGTGGCCTTCTGTCACTTCCGGTGATGTCAGGGGGCGTGGCATATGCAAATAAGTTATGCTAATGAGTTATGCTAATGAGCTCCGGCAGCTCTTTTTCTACAACAAGACCCCTGAGTATAATTATTTAATAACTAGTAAAGAAATATCCACTCTTTAAAAAAAAAATGGGACTATAAAGGCCTCTCATGGTCGGATCGGGCAAACACTAGAAAATCTTTTATGCGATCAAAATTTCTATACTACTTCAGAGCAATACCAATCAATTTGACGGCTTTGCAATTGGGAGTATGGCAGGCGAACTTCAACAATTTTGTATGGCAATATATAAAACCTAGAGAGCTTTATGGCTCTCCAACATGGCTACCCTTTTAGAATTCAGAATTCAGTGGGAAGTCCCTGTTTCGGTGACGCAAGGAAAGTTGATGGGGAGAAGGTCAAGATTGCTAGGATTTGGTACGTCCCATTGGTTGGGAGTCTGTGGGAGGGGCTGTGGCTCAGGATTAGAGAATCTGCTTGGCATGTGGAAGGTCCAGGTTCGAACCCTGGCATCTCCAGTTAAAAGAAGAAGAGGAGGAGGAGGAGGAGAAGGAGTCTCAGAGCGGCTTACAAACTCCTTCCCCTTCTCCTCCCCACAACAGATACCCTGTGAGGTAGGCGGGGCTGAGAGAGCTCTTTTGAGGACTGCGCCTGAGAGAACAGCTCTGAGAAAACTTGTGACTGACCCAAGGTCACACCAGCAGCTGCATGTGGGGGAGTGGGGAATCAAACCTGGTCCCCCCAGATTAGAGTCCGCGCTCCTAACCACTACACCAAACCAAAAGGCAAGCAGAAGAAGAAGAAGGAGGAGAAGAAGAAGAGATTGGATTTATACCCTGCCCTTCACTACCCAAAGGAGTCTCAGAGCGGCTTACAAACTCCTTTCCCTTCCCCTCCCCACAACAGACACCCTGTGAGGTAGGCGGGGCTGAGAGAGCTCTTGACAGAAACGGCTCTTTTTCAAGGACAGCTCTTGTCAGAACGATGGCTTGCCCAAGGTCATGCAGCCAGGTGCAAGTGGAGATTAGAGTCCAGGCACTTAACCACTACACCAAACTGGCTGAAAGACCAGGTGATGTGAAAGACCTCTGAGTGAGTCCCTGGAGAGCTGTTGCTAGTTTGAGTAGACCAGGCATCCCCAACCTTTCCAGGCCTGCAGGCACCTTGGGAATCCTGAGAGGGGGGTTGAGTCCCACTCCAAAATGGCTTCCACAGGAGGCGGAACCAAACAGAATGCCTCCCACCTCCTGGGAAGAAGGAAATCCTGAGTGGGGAGTGGAACCACACACTGACTCAGGAAAGGCCTGGTGCTCACCGGTCCTGATCCTCCAGTGGCTGCCAGTTATTGCAGTTGTGGGAAACCCTTTCATTTGACCGAGGGCAGCCAGTAATAAGCCCGGCCTTACAGTGTCCCCACCCACTTTTTGATAAGTTCGGGGGCACCGAGGGAAGTACTGGTGGGGCACCACGGTGCCCCATCACCACATTGGGGACCCTTGGAGTAGACAGTAGAAGAAGAAAAGAGATTGGATTTATCCCCTGCCCTTCACTCGGAGTCTCAGAGCGGCTTACAAACTCCTTTCCCTTCCCCTCCCCACAACAGACACCCTGTGAGGTGGGTGGGGCTGAGAGAGCTCTGACAGAAGCTGCTCTTTTTCAAGAACAGCTCTTATCAGAACTGTGACTTGCATAGGGTCATCCAGGCAGGTGCAAGTGGAGGAGTGGGGAATCAAACCCGGATCTCCCAGATTAGAGCCTGCGCACTTAACCACTACACCAAACTGGCTTTGATGGCCCAATTCAGTAGTAGGCGGCTTCACATGTGTTCAGGTTGTCCTGATCATGAGTTGCCTCTGGCCACTTTCCAAGGCCGAACCCTCGCTCTTCCCCGTTCCTCCTTGCCTGGAGATTGATTCGAAAGGTCACCTTTTGAAAGGCGGGGAGAGCGGCGCATCCGTCCCGTCCCTGGCAGCCGGCAGAACCTGGCGATAATTCAGCCTCTGGCTTGTTTGAAATAGATAATCAGCAGAGAGGGCCCCGCCGCCCTGCGAAAACGCAACACATTTTATTTCTGGAGTGTTTGCACATTGCGTACGCCTCGCACATGAATAAAAGTGCCACCTGTTTGCAGCTGATAACTGTGGCTGGCGGTGCGCGCATCGGCCCCCTTTCCTTCAACAGCAGGCTGCTTTTTGTCGGCGGGGTGTGTGTGTGTGTCTCCAACAGCTACGGCGTGACCCGCATTTTGTTAAGACAGCTGTGCATGCTGTTCCGTTTCCTTTAATAAGCCTCCATCGAGTTTGTACAGAATCCAGCCTCTTCCGCCCCATGTGAGATAAGCTTGGGAAGTTCCTAGGGAGGCATAGTGAAACGTCGTAATTCTGGGGGCTGCCGGAGGGCCGGCGTTCCAGAGACCCGTGCCGTTCCCTGCACCTGGCAGAAGCAAGATGAATAGACGAAGGGACGCAAATGTCACGATTTGTTTGGGTCCCTTGCAGAATTAATTGCATTTCTTGATTAAATAATTCAGGGTTTGTGTGTGTGTGGGGGGGGTCCAGAGCCAGGGGTCGTTTCGTAGAAAAAGAGCTAGGGGAACTCATTAGCATAACTCATTAGCATATGCCACACCCCATGACATCACCAGAAGTGTGTCATAAGGCCACACCCTTTGACATCACCAGAAGCGTGTCATAAGGCCAACGGTCCCGGCCGCCGCCGCCGGCCTTGCAGCTCCACCGCCGAGCCCCATGAGGGGCCCGGCGGTGGACCTGCAAAGCCATCGGGAGTGCAAGGAAGCCCCGGACCGACTGTGGACCTGCAAAGCCATCGGGAGTGCAAGGAAGCCCCGCGAAGGCCCTCCCTGGCCCCAGGCAGGCAGGGGTGGGGAGAGGCAGGGAGGAAGCAACTTACCCTCCCTCTTCTCCTGCCTCCTCCTGGCTGAATGAGGGCCGGAAGCGGGGCGGCCGGAAGCAGGGGGCGGGGCTTCGTCATGTGCCCCGCCCCGTACCTCACCCGGGGGAACTGCGATCCCCCCGAAATGACCTCTGTCCAGAGCCCAAGTCTTACACATGCAGAGATAGTTCTGTACAGAACCACCCAATAGGTTTGCCAACTCCTGTCTGGGAAATCCTGGGGGATTTGGAGGCGGAGCCTGGGGAGGGCAAGTTTGGGGTTCACCCTCCAAAACAGGAAGTCGTGGAAGCAGTGACAGACTTCATGTTCCTGGGATCCAAGCTCACCGCAGACTGTGACTGCAGCCATGAAATTAAGAGACGCCTGCTCCTTGGGAGGGAAGCGATGGCGAACCTAAACAGCATGATAAAAAGTAGAGACATCACCCTGCCACCAAACGTCCGTATGGTCAAAGCAATGGTATTCCTAGTAGTCATGTATGGCTGTAAGAGGTGGACCATAAGGAAGGCCGAAGAATGGGACGGCAAAGGATGAGATGGTTAGACAGTGTTATTGAGGCAATGAACATGAAATTAAGCAAACTCCAGAGGATGGTGGAAGACAGGAGGGCCTGGTGTGATGTGGTCCATGGGGTCACGAAGGGTTGGACTCAACTGTGCGACTGAACGACAACAACGACAACAACTCCAAAGCAGCCTTTTTTCCCAGGGGAACTGATCTCTGTAGTCTGGAGACCAGTTGTAATTCCAGAAGATCTCCAGGCCCCACCTTGGGGATGGCAACCCTACCACCCAAGCAGGGAGGGGGGGCTGTGGCTCAGTGGTAGATAGGGTTGCCAGGCCCCCCCCCCCCCCCGGCCACTGGCATGGGGTGGAGGGTAGGTTTGTCAGATCCAGGTTGGGAAACTCCTGGAGATTTGGGGGTGGAACCTGGGGAGGACAGAGAACTCAGTGGGGCACCATGGCCATAGACTCCATCCTCTGAAAACCTCCATGGAGGGTTTTTAAAGAAGAAGAAGAACAGATTGGATTTATACCCCGCCCTTCACTACCCAGAGGTGTCTCAGAGCGGCTTACAAACTCCTTTCCCTCCCCCTCCCCACAACAGACACCCTGTGAGGTAAAAGAAGAAGAACAGATTGGATTTATACCCCGCCCTTCACTACCCGGAGGTGTCTCAGAGCGGCTTACAAACTCCTTTCCCTCCCCCTCCCCACAACAGACACCCTGTGAGGTAAAAGAAGAAGAACAGATTGGATTTATACCCCGCCCTTCACTACCCGGAGGTGTCTCAGAGCGGCTTACAAACTCCTTTCCCTTCCCCTCCCCCTCCCCACAACAGACACCCTGTGAGGTGGGTGGGGCTGAGAGAGCTCTTGACAGAAACTGCTCTTTTTTCAAGAACAGCTCTTATCAGAACCACAGCTTGCCCAAGGTCATCCAGCCAGGTGCAAGTGGAGGAGTGGGGAATCAAACCCGGTTCTCCCAGATTGGAGTCCGCGCCAGTTTGGTGTAGTGGTTAAGTGTGCGGACTCTAATCTGGGAAAACCGGGTTTGATTCCCCACTCCTCCACCTGCACCTGCTGATGTGAGCTTGGGTCAGTCACAAGCTCTGGCACAGCTGTCCTTGAAAAAGAGCAGTACCGTCTCGGCCTAAGCCACCTTGCGGGGCTGCTGTGGGGATAAAATGGAGGCAAGGAGAGCACTGTTGTGCGTCTTTGGGTCCCCCACTGGGGAGAAAGAGAGTATAAATGAAATAGATATTTAAGCACACATTCTTATAAAGAACATAGAGGATGGGCATTTCAGATGATCCCTGCTGTCTAGAGGGAAGGAGTAAGAATTAGAGATCCTTTGAGGGGGGAAGAAGAAGAAAAAGAAGAAGTGGTTTTTATACTCCGCTTTTCTCTATCCTATTCTCTATCCCTTCCTCTCCCCACAACAGACACCCTGTGAGGCAGGTGAGGCTGAGAGAGCTCTGACAGAAACTGCTCTTGAGAGAACAGCTCTGAGAGAACTTGAGACTGACCCAAGGTCGCTTCATGTGGAGGAGTGGGGAATCAAACCCAGTTCTCCCAGATTAGAGTCTGCCACTCTTAACCACTTCACCAAACTGGCTAGCAGGATACTGAGTTTGTTTGGCAAAAAATGATTAGGTTTGTATTTACTATGGTATGTCCTTCATATAATTCAAACACAAAGTGTGTCATAGCAAGCCTTCTGAAACTGAGCTGTGAGTTTTTCTTTAGTTGTTGATAGATTTTATTTTCATAGCTCTTTAGGGTTTGCGATACGGCATAGGCAAATGTCAAGAGGTTTGGAGGACAGTGGCTGGAGAGGGTGGAGTTTGGGGAGGATGTGACATTGCTTCCAGGTGATGCTCTAGGAATCTCTGCTTGTCTCTATGGTAAAGACCATAGAGATGAGGGGAGATTCCTAGAGTAACACTGTAGAGTCCCATTTTTCTCTCTCCTGTTCTTCAGTTTTTCAAGCGCAGAAGATTGG